CCCCCCCCCCCCCCCCGGCGCAGCTTCATCCCGGGGCACAGCCTCCCTCACCCGCGGCGCAGAGCATCCCGCGCAGACGCGGCGCCCCGGGGAGGAGACGCGGGGCCGTCCCGGGCGCAGCCTCCCCTCCTCGGGAGGCCCGCACGCGGCCGGGCAGCCCCCGGGACACCTCCGCGGGGCAGCCCCTCTGGACCCCCGCCCGGGGCCGAGCAGCGCGGGGGTCCCGCTCGCGGCGCACGCCCGCCCGGCCTCCCCACCTGCCCCGCGGCGCTTACATAAACGCGGCCCCCGCGGCGGTGCCGGGCCCCGGGGTCCGACCCCCGCCCTCGCCTCCCCTCGCCTCGCCTCACCTCAGCCGCGGGCCGCCCGCTCCGCTCCGCACGGCGCGCCCGGGCTCGGACCGCGAGGCCGCCGCGTTCCCCTCGGCTGCCGGGGCTGCGGCGCGCTGGCCGTGGCCTGGCGCGGCCCCGAGCGCGGCCCCGAGCGCGGCCCGACCCCGCCGCCTCCGCCGCCGCCGCTGCCGCCGCCGCCGCCTCAGCCTCCGCCTCAGCCTCCGCCCTCCGCCCTCCGCCCTCGGCCCTCCGCGCCGGCTCCGCCTCCCAGCCGCCCCCGCCGCCGGCCGCGCGCACGCCGGGGGGAGGGGGCGCCGCGACGCAGGGCGTGCGCGCGCCCGCGGGCCGGCAAGCGCCCCCCCCCCCCTCCGCGCGGTCCGGGGCTGCGGGAGCGCGCACCTCGGCGGGGCCCGGCTGCGCGGTGCGCGTGCTCAGAGCAGGTGGGGTCCCGGGCGCCCCGGCGCGGAGCCGGTCCCCGCGCGTCCCCTGAGCGCTCCCGCGGAGGTCGGCAGCCGGGCGGGCCTGCGAGGGGCGGGGACGGGGCGGGCTCGGAGGGCGCTGCGACCCGCTGGCTTCCGCCCTCCGCCCTGCGCGGCGCCCCACTGCGCGCACGGCGGGGACACGCGCGGAAATGCCACCGGCTGCGGGTTCGGTTCCGAGCAGGACGCAAACCAAATCCTCGTCGGGAAAGGCCCACGGCCCTGGAGCAGGTGCTGAGAGCGGAGCGGGCGGTGCGGACGGCGTGGGGCCCGGGGCTCCCGACCCCGCAGAGCAGGCCGCTGCCCAGGCTGGACCCCGAGCCACCGCGCCGCGCTCAGGGCCGTCTTAGCTCGGGCCCTCCGCAGGGACGTCCGCCGGCCTCCTGCCCTGCAAAATAGGCCTGGGAGGGGGGAGGAGCCCAGGCCAGAGCCCGTTAAGCAGGACCCCCACAGCAGCCTGTACCGACCACACGGGCCAGGGACCTGCTTCCAGCCGCTCTCCTGGAAAGGAGACGCCTCTGTCTGGGACCAGCCCGCCAGCAGGCCAGCCCGTCCCCCAGCCTGAGGGCTAAGGGCCAGGCACAGTGCCCAGAGGAGCACTTGTGGACAACCCAGGAAAAATCGGGACTCCCGGGATGCCCTCTAGGGACTCCACCTTAATAAACAAATACATGCATGAGGACTTGAGACCTGTTTCTGTGAAAGAGACCCCAAAGCCAGGCGGCTTAACTGCTCAGGATCCTGTGGCCACCAGCTCACGTAGCTCAAGTCTGCTTCATGGGACATGGGCCGGACCCAGGCGCATGGGCCACCGGCAGGGATGGGGGTGGGGGAACCAGGCTGCGTGTCACCTGCGCTCAGCAGGCTGGCCAAGGCTGCTTCTCATGGTGTGTGACTTCCATCCGCAGCTAGAGGAAAGGCAGAGCTCAGTGCATGGGGCATTTCCAGCCTAAAGTCCCATTGGCCAAAGTCACAGGGCCAAACGCTGAGTGGGTGTCACGGGGGCTGTGCAGGGCACGTGAAGGTACGTGTGACTCACTGGAGGGCACTTCTCTGTGTCTGTCTTCCACAAGTGAGCCTTCGTTTGGTGCAGCCGGACCGGGACCTTCCCGCTCACACTGCTTGGACACAGTCTGAGCAAGGAGCCAGGGATCACGGGCGAAGACGGGCTTGGGGCGTTGCGCCCTGACTTGGGACGATGGCACGCAGAACATGCCTCTTTATGCTGATGTGGAGAAAGCAGTTTCCAGCCACCAGGGCCAAGACGTGGGACGTTGCCACGCCCATGCAGCACCTGTGAGGTCCAAGGCCACGATGAGGGTCCTACAGGCTGCAGAGGAAAGCCTTCCCGTCCCTTGCTTACCATCAGCGTCAGACACCGGGGCGCTGGGGACGATCCCTGGGTCTCCCCAGAAGTTCTGGCAGCTGAACTGCATAGGGGCTACAGCCTGGCAACAATTCCATGTGGCCTGCCCTGCCCCCGCCCCGGGCACTCCGTTTGTTCTTTACTCATGCAAACTGTGAAAATAAAATATCACTTTGGTGTTCTGGGAAAAAAACCCGATGCTCAAATGCTCGCCCAGGGAACCCAGGTATAGGGTTTTATAGGAGTGCATGGACCTGTCAGCTGCGGGGCACGCGGTCTGTACAAACCGGAAGACCACCTTGGCCGCGTTTTCCCTCTTGCTGACATGGCCTCCTAGCTGGATCCCATGAGCAGAATTAGAAATCACTCTGGGCAGGCGCCTCCAGACAGCTACAGGATTTGTGATCCTGAGACACTGGCCTCCTGCAGACTCCGGAGACGGCATGTGACCTGGAGGATGCTGGGAGGGGAAAGGAGGTGCCCAGCCCGACCACACGGGGCTGCTTGCCTTCATTCACGATCTGGGCGTCCGGAAAGACTTTCGGCAGAAGGAAGCGTTTCCGGCCAGCAGGCAGAGAAACCACTCCTGTGCCCAGGTCCCCAGTAGAGTCGCAGCCAGAGGGCAGAAGCACATGACCTGTGCCCAGTGGGGAGCTAGTGGCTCTGGGCGGCCCCGCTGGGCTGGCCTGGCTTTCTGCCCCTCATTTCTAGGCCTTGGGCCCACCACACCTTCTGCTCACACACCATGACCATGTGGTCCCAGCACTGCCTCCCCGTGGTGATCCCATTCCCGATGTGTTCTGTGGAGACTATGCTCTGGTCATGGTCACCGTGGACGCAGGCTATGACCTCAGGACCTATGAGCCTGGAGTGTGGGTCTCGATCATTTAAGGACGACCTTGCTCGTATTCTTTTAAAGTCTGTTCCACGGTGGTCCCTGTGTCTGACCAAAAATGTGTCTGAGAAAAGATGTGTTTCCTTGTGTTATTTAATTCTACCCAGTGTGCTTGGGAGAGGACGCCCCCGGGGACTTTCAGATTGTCGTCTAAAAGTAAGCTACTGATTTCTTGGTTTCTAAAAGAGTCAGAAAGATAAAGCTGCTAATAAGAGATAACCAGTATGCTGCGATACATTTATTTGAGATGAAATATTTTTGTGTGTGTCCCACATTTATAAAAAGCATGACACTGGAATGACAAAAACCAGACGGGGAGAAGCTTTCAATCAACTCCTCATGGGAGGGGTCACCGTGCGTAGAGTCTGCCCAGTTCACGACCACCTCCTTCTCTGGGGCCCCCCAACTGCCAGCGGACCCAGCCCCATCACGGGACCGACCCAGAGAGGACTTGTTTGCGCAGCAGACAGAGCGCTGCTCCCACGCCCCAGCGCCAGGCCCAGAGGTGGAGGTCTGACTCAGCGTGACTTCACCTGGAGGTGGGCACTGGCAGGGAGACGACCCCGCGTCTGGGCCTGCGCCTGCCGTGTGGAAGCCCAGAGCCGCTGGGACGGCCTTCGCCCCTTGCCGTGCCCGGGGGAGCGGGCCGCGGTGCGAGTCACGCAGCCGGCAGACCTCAGAGCCGGGAGCGGGGTGGTGAGACACAGCAAGGGCGGCAAGCCCCACAGAGGGGAGACGGGCCAGGGGAACAGGGTCCAGAACAGGGTCCAGACTCCGCTCCCCCATGTGTGAGCCGGGCGCCCAGCCTCTCTGAGCCCATTCTTCACCCACGGAAGGAGGACGTCGCCCCCACCTCATGGGCCACGCGGTGAAGACCCCCCTATGGCGGAGAGCCACAGGGGTTCTGGAAGCTGCAGCCCGCCCGGCTCCCAAGACTCAGCCCAGGCTTTGGGAAGCTTTGAGCGGAGCCTCACAGATGAGTGAGCGGGTGGTGACAGGTGGTGAGGGTGCCCTGAGGCGGGGGGAGAGCATTTCCATCTGGCTGGAGTTCAACGAAGGCAGGACTTCTCAGCACGTCGATCAGGGGCAGTCAGGGGCAGTATCCCGAGCGTGGGGCCTCTCCATCTCCTCCCTCAACCGCCATCAAGATGGAAGGTGACTGTGGGGTGAACCCTGGGGCGGGGAGACCAGCGGGGGCCCCATCAACGCCCGTGCTCTGTTTCTGCACCGTCTACCTGCTCAGTAAGAATGGCACCTTTATAGCAGATTGGGGGGATGGAAGAACATGGGACAGAGATGTACGCGGCCCACAAAGCCTGAAATATTGCCCCGCAGGCCATTTACAGAGCCGGTGGACCGGCTCTACCCCAACACGGGGAGTCGGACCGGCCCTGTCCAAGTACACGGACTGTCTTGGGGAGGGAAGGAAACGCAGTCCCAAACCAGGGTGTCACTGGCGTGGCTGTGGTGGCTCATGAGGGTCCGTGTGTCCCGAGGCTACTGCCCACCCAGGTGGGATGCCTGGCAGTCATCTCTGTCAGAAGGGAGCAGTGCAGGTGCCGAGTTCAGATGTTTCTAGAAGCAGACTCGGTAAGACTCGGTGGTGGCTTGGGTGAAGGGGCACGGAGCAGGAAGGACCTGGGCAGCGCGTGCTGGCGGAGGGTGGCACCAAGCACCGAGATGAGGCAGAGCAGGGAAGAAGCCCCCAAGGCCTTCTGTGCAGAGTTTGCGAGGCCTCTCAGAGTCCAAGTGGTGGACGCAGAAGACAGCGCCAGGAGCCCCACAGGAGTGTCTCCAGAAGGAAAGCTGAGTCCAGAGAAAACGAGAAAGACACGGAGCTCGTGCTGACTTTGAAAAGTTCAGTGGGGTGCTGGGGACAGAACTGGCTAGAGAGAGAGGACACTTCCCATCTCCTGTGAGGAGGCAGACGTCTCTTGGACTCTGGAACCCAAGAATGGCCCCAAAGAGACGATGCACCAACCCTGTCCACAAACTAAGTCAGTACCCACGGACCCAGAACAAGCACCCAGCAAGCCAAAGTCCAGGAACAGATAAGATGAGAACGAGGACATTATGACCCATTATGACCCAGCTGGGCTTACCCAGGAACATGATGACATTGGCTTAACACTTAAAATCTATTCTGCAAATCACCCACAGGGGAGGCTTTTAATAACACCCAGCACCTCCCATGTTTAGAAACACAAACTCTCAGAAACTGGGAATAACAGGGCATTTCTCTAACCTGGTAACTGTGCCCATAAGCTCCTGAAACGAGCAAGAGACACACAGGAAATGTGAGACGCAGGCTGCTAAAATCAGAAACAAACCAGGGACACTGGCCCTCTCCAGCGCTGTTCAGGGTGAGAGCCCCGAGGACAGAGCACCACACAGCAGTGGGGGTGGGGGTCCTGGCAGTCACAGGTGACCTGATGACATACGTGGAAAACAAAACATCATCCACAGCTAAATTATTCGATTTGATAAAATCTAGCAAGATTCCTGAGGACAAAGCCAACACACACGCACACTGAGCCATTTCTGTGCATGAGCAACAATTAGGGAAACGATCCCACTTACAATCGTGTATGAAAGTTTGAGTTAAAAACAGACCTAATGGACGAGTGTGTGGTCTTTAAGGAGAAAAAATGTCTCTACAGTTATTGAAAGAGCGAGCGAACATAGAGACACACTATTGTAATAGATAAGAGGACCCCAGGGTGGTAAAGATGTCACCTCTCCCACCAATTACCTGTAGAGTCGATGGGATTCTATAAATATTCTAACAGGGATGTTTATGCAACTGACTGATTCTAACCTAGATCCCAGGAAGGCAGAGGAGCTAGAATCGCCAGAAGGAAGAAGACAAAGGTCGGCACTTTGCTTCAGCAACTGCAAAGACCTGACAAGTTACTGTGATCACGCGGTTCGTGACCGGCCCACGGAGGGACAAAGTGAGCAATGAAGGAGAACAGAGTGGGAGCAGGAGCACCCCACCTCCACCTGCGAGGGAAGAGCCACCGCAGGTCAGTGGGGGGAGAGAGGGCTTCACTACGTGATGCTGGGTCATCTGTCTGTGCACGTCGGGAAAACCACAGCTGGGCACATGCCCGCACCCTGCCCGAAGCTCAGCTCCAG